AAGTCATTTTGTCAGCCAATTCAATTAGTCAAACTATCCAGCCAATCAATTACAAGACAAACCAGCCAGAAAGTAGACAGCCGATCAATGTATGAGCCAGTCAGTGTGATGCAGTATTTTTTATGTAGACTGAGCGATTGGATGTGGGCTGGACGATCGAGGGGTCGCAGTTCGAGTCCCGGTAGGGTTAAGAATTTTTCCTTCTCCACGTCGTCCAGACCGGCTCTAGGCCAAATTAGCCTCACATCCAATGGGTAACGGGAGCAAAGTGGCCGGGGTGTGAAGCTGACCACTCACCCCCCAGTGCCGAAGTCAAGAAAATGTGGGTCTATACATCCACTCCCTCATAAGCCTTTATGGTATAGTGCTTAATTAGTTAGGCACAGGGACAACTTTAGACAGACAACGTACTGACAAAATTATTTACAAAGGGACGGGAATTTAGGAAATCTTGAAGAATTTGAACTCAGGACCTGGGTGTGTGTAGTGGCGCCTACGAAAGGGACCAGTAGCGTTTCATTCAGGTTTCAATACATGGAAGGGAAATGTCGTTCAGAGGCGGTACAACAGATGCAGATGGACTGGAGACGGTGAACATGACATCATATGACATGTCATCATGTTACCTGAGAGCTGTCATTCTGCAGACTGACACATAGGCCTCTGCTCCTACAACTCACTCCACGGCAAACGCGAATATGAGAGACTTCACTATATTTGACGCTTGTGACTCTATTGTATTGTGGTCAAACTGAACTGTTGAACTGGCTAACTAATAATGTGTAAATCCGAGCTATATGATTCGCTGCTACTGGCCGTTACCAGAAATGGCGACCTTACACGTATATTCTTTGTGTTTTGAGGAGCTTTTTTTCGTGCTTATCTGCCGGTAATATCGTTCAAAGAATATGACGGATTTAAACGGAACTTGCTGTGCTACAGGCGCGTTAAATTTGATTGAATTTTTTTATTTTACCTCAGTTCCGTTAATTTTACTACACTAAGGAATTTCAAGACCAGTTTTACTTAAGGATTAAGTGCAATTTTGCGTGTATCTCGCCAACTGTTAACATTGGGAGAGACCGTCAGAGAAATTTGGGAATCGACAAGCTTCATGTCACAGGTCTGTACCTTGTCCAATATTTTCATGAAATTCATTGATTTCTACAAAATCTCTAGTGTAACGCAATAGTAAGCAGGTGTACTTCATCGAAAGCATTGCCCAATTTCCCTGGCATCAAGGTAACGTCTGCTTGATTTTCATCTCATTCCATTTACCTACCCGAAAGAAGTGCATCTTATCAGTGTAACTTGAAGGGTAGTTTTTTATTTCCTTTTCTTTTCTATTTATCAATTCTGACTGTTTCTACGTAGAGTTTCTATGCCATGACAGTGTATATCCTGCAGTAGTGATATGACAAAATCAGAGGTTTTGAATGAAATTCACATGTATTTACAGGGAAATTTGTTTCATAATATATGGCAGTATCTTGTATGAAGTGTCGCTTCTGAACTGCACAGCTATAGGAGGCTAAATTAGAAAAGTTATGGGAGTAAGGTTTCGTGGCTTATTTTGAAGTATTATCTTGGTGTTCTTTATACGTGTGTTTTGTATCTTGTTGTGTATGTTAAGTATAATGTGTCTCTAGTTCGTCTATCACAACATACTCACTTGTAGAGACTGCTAAAAATAAAAGAAAATCTTATGATAGCTCACCTCGGGAACAGTTGAAACCGGGACCTCTAGAATACGATACAAGTAAAGCAGAGCTGCACAAACTGTCATAGAACTCACCCGGCAGGTGAAGACGGCACCTCTGTTCTGGAAGTTAGGTGACCGAATGTATGACATATAGACATTCACTAATGTTCTTTGTTGTGGAAATCATAAATTAGAAATAACCTATCACATGATAAAAAATTAGTGGAAATTATAAATGAATGCAAAATTGTAATCAGAAAATCCCGAGGTAGAAATCAGCTGGGAAACGTAAGAGCATATTGCAAGAAAATACAAGATTTAAAGCGGAGTTTAATGTAAACTGGATTCAGCTGGCTCGAAATAGGGTAAAATTATGGATTGTTATGAAGTTTCGGGTATCGTAAAATCTATTCAACTAATTGACCTGCTGAGCAACTACTACTGAAGAAAGAACTTCTCTGTCTAATTAAGTAGAAGTTTCCCACTGAAAGAAAGAAGGAAAATGGTAAAATAGATCATAATGAATTAGAGTGTGAGGGTGTGACTCAGGACAGGGTTTCTGGTCTGGCACCTGTGAATCCAAGATTAGGGTCTAGAATGTCGTATTCCTATAACTGACTAACTAACTAACTCCGTGATGCTGAGTCCTTCTTGAGCGCGACAAGTAGCTCAGATATTCAGGAATTTCCCATAATTTCATGGAACCCGAAAGTGTATTACCGTGTTTAAAAGAGTCCACCACTAGTTTCTATCCTGAGCTAGACGAATCGAATCTGTACCTCTCCACTCTATATCTATATGTTCCTAATTGGTAATTGTTAGTTTTAACTGAAAATTATAAGAATTTAACATTCTGTTTTCATAAGTCCTACAGAGGAAGTAACCACGGAAGGTTAATAAGCAAAAGCCTCGTTCTCTAGAAGTTCCGGTTCGAATCTAGTCCCGCAGTCTAGATATCCTCACTCTGTAATAGTTTTCTTCTGCCTCTCCCGGAAGATGCTCAGATATTACATTAAACATGCGACACCATTTCTTTTACGTCCTTTTTCATTAATAATTTAAATTTATGCTTTTAAACCATGCAGTGAAAAGTATGAACTTGATAAGACTGACTGAACCACTAAATAGTAACTTGATGATCTTACGACACCAACATTTCTAAAAGCATCAGGGCACTAGTACCTTTGTCGTGGACATGTTCCTCGTTGAGTGATCATAACGATAACAAGGGCCAGTGGCCAAGATGTTCGTAAGGATAAATTGATCCCACGACTATGGAATCTGACCGATATTCTGAATAGGATTTAGCGTAAATCTGTGACTAGAGGAAACAAGTTCGGAATCGCATTATACTGTATCATCGAAATATAAAATAAAGTATCTTTACACTAATTCTCATTGAGGTGTTTAGTGAAAGTAACGGTAGGTAGTGGTAAAATTTTGGCGTCATATTGGTCACCATTGGGGGAATTTCCCTAAAGCGAAGTTCGCGCGCTGTCTCTGTTTCATACATCAGAATAAAGGCCAGTTAGGACACGAAAGAAATGACACACTACACGCTCTGTGATAGGTTTAAGTCATCTGGTGGAAGTAGGCCAGCGAAAAGTCGTGGTCCGAGTTTCGTGATTCATTTGTGACAGCCGTCGGCTAATTCTGAGCTAATACAAGTATTTCCAGTTGTTGTACACGATTCCATTTATATGCTTAGGTCTGTATCTACTCTATGTATATCGCGAGCGAAGTTATAAATATCTGTAGTAGATACAGCGTCGTGAAATCGACGATGTATGAAGAAACTTAACCACTGAATCGCCTACCAGGGGAACACGGTTTGTGCCAAACGTAAGGCAGGTGGTGGGCGGGCATTTAACTTTGCAGGTTGGTTTCACAATTATTTATATCATTCGCTCCATGACGGCTTACAGCATGCGCAGTGAGTGTTACAAGGCGCCCCCCCCTCTGATCTTTACACGGTGAACCGTACACCTCATTGGTTCAGTACTGCGCGTACCAGCTGTATAACCGCACGCCTGAAACTGCAGGCAGCCCGCCTGACCGCCCGACCGACCAGGAGACAATGCAACATGCACGGCACAGAGAGACCGATGCATAGGTGCGTAACACAGATAACAATATAACGCTTAAATAATTGGAGTTCGGATTTGCTATGGTGACGTGAGTGTTGTAAAATGTGAAGTGATTCGAAGTTTTTAGAAACTTGTAAATTCGCTAGCAAACGCTTTCAAAACTTCATGAATGTTACATATCGATAAATTATTTACATTGAAAGTATACGATTGTCATTTTAATGGACAAACGAAATAGAGTTCCGCATCACGTGTTTGTAGGACAGAACTGCTAAACACCGAAACTTGTAATCGTACACAGAAGAAACAAAATAAAACTTAAGTTAAAGAAAATATTTATAGACGAAAATTACAAAAATTAAATAACCACTGATGTGTAAGGCAAGCAATAACTATTTATAAAATAATTATTGGAATATACATAGCTCGTATACATGAATGTTACAACACAAAGGAGAATGTTTGTAGTTTAGCTTTTCGTCGGTCGCCTTCGATATAGATATATAAAATAAATATAATTGTATACGCAAAAAACCCATGACCTTATAACTGCATGTTTCATAAAGGAAAAGGAATGCTTAAAGACATCTAGAAGAATGTTCTAGGAAGCTAAATTCAGCTAGCAATCTCAAACTGACAGCCAAAGCTGTAACGTTGGATATTTGTTACATGTATCGACGAAGCCATTGCATTTGGAACAGATGCTTCTAGCATTAGCTGTTATGTAGTGAAAATATAATATTCGTAACACGGAACTGAATTCTGTTTGATGTTTAATATGTATAAAATATCCTTGTGTTAGTTAAAAATACTCGAATCCTCAGCACTGGATCTTAGTATTATAAAATTCTTAAAACGCCTGCATTACCTCTAAACTTCTGTTACATGCAGGAACTAGGTGCGATGTCTGTGTGTTGTTAACAAGATCAGAACTTTGGTACACCAAAGCTGTTGAAACGGTGAATTTATTTGTTGAGCCTTAACTATAAATTACAAGAACTGGCTGTTTGCATCTTAGACAGTTACTCGTATGTGTCATTGAAAATGATAGAACTGATTGTTATATCTACGCTGTTCAAATTTCAACAGTATCTTATGTTATTAACTGTTAACTGCAGGACTAATCATTGCTGAACTGACTGTTGAAATGCCAACAATGTAAGTCAGAATGCTGGAAGGAGTGCTAGCTTGTATTACTCCGATCTTTTAAGATGCCGGATTCTGGCTACCACGACTATCCGACGTATCCGCTGGGTGCGACGGCGAACGGTAGCAACACCAAGACGCCTCATCACCACCACAACAACAACGCAGAGAAACACGTGTTGTTCTTCCCACCGGATGCACCTCAAGCCGACAGAGAGTCGCCAAAGCAGCAGCAGCAAACGGTCAGTGTGTACAGACAGGTCAGCCACTTTGTATAGACGCATGGTTAAAAAGTCTTTCGCTGATAATAAGATTATGTGAAAACGAGTTCCTAATTATAAAGGTATACAGCGTCAAATGTGATATTTTTTAAATATATTTATTAGCAATCAGAATTAAATACATTTTTAAGCTAATTTAAACACCGTCCTCGTGTGCTTATTGTATCGTGATGAGGGCTCCTCCAATGAGAGATCCTCTTCAACCATCAAGTAGATCTGCTGGCCATAATTTCTTTAACCTTCTTCGTTGTTGTTCCAGTAGGGGCTACAGTAATGTATTGCTATGGTGTCCTAGTTTATCATGATGTTTTATGCTTTTTTCTTGGATGACTTCTTTGATGAATGGTACGTTGAGATCGTCATGTAGGGTCTGATTAGTCACATATCAAGGTGCATTTGTGACCATCCGCAGTATTTTGGACTGCCTTCGTTGCATTGTGGCTATGTTCGATTTACTGGCGCATCCCTATAATTCGATTCCATAGGTCCAAATAGGCTTTTTGATTTTCTTGTAAAGAAGTACTTTACTATCTAGCGATGTGCTAGATTTACTTCCTATGATCCAATGTATGTCTTTTACTTTTAGGTCTACCTGGTTTTTTGCTTTAGCTATATGCTGCTTCCAAGTAAGCCTGGAATCCAGGTGGAGTCCAAGATACTTTACTGTTGATGGTTGTGTGATTACAAATGTGATATGATGACCATTGGCGGTGAGAGGAAGGTATTGTTGCTAGAGGAAGTGGGGAAAACATTATAGGCGTCGGTACGAGTATCCGCTAACTTGAGCAAGACTCGTGGCGTACTTCCGGAATACGCGTCTGGAGTGTTACAGTGTAACCAACCTCGTCGTTGAGACACGTATTATAGGATTAGAAAGAAGTTTCGCTTGTTAGGTTACGGATAAGTATTTTATCCAAGTTGTTTATAGTTTTCGTAACGACGCTACCTGTAACTTAGATCATACAGCGTCGAATGACTCAACGACAGGGGATATTGAATTAGAATGTGGAAGGAAAATTGTCGTGGCCTAATTTAAATTAATATCGTGGTATTTTGCTGGAGTTGGTGAAAAAATCCATATAGAAGTTCAAAATAGTCGGTTTTGGTGCTGCGAGTCGATCCGAATTCTCCCGATTGGAAGTCAGAAACTTTAGTGTTTGGTCAGCTTCCTCGGTTCTATCAGCTGCATAGCTTATATACCGCCTACAGAATTAGGAAGATTGTGAATGATGAGTGAGTGGAAACAATTTGATGGAGGTATTCATGGTTTTCTTTCAAGGTGCTGTCTTGACTTTCGCCCGTAAAGCTGATGGAAACGACGAAGAATCGAAGGATAGTGGGTAACTGAAGCAAGATTCGAAATGAGTATCTCCAGAATAAAGTTTTGGAACGATGCCGCTACACTAATCTGTTCGGCAGGATAATTACTGCATAACGAAGCATTTGTCTCTGTCGTAATTACATAAAGTCGCTTTATCAACGGATTAGGTTCCGGTGTTAATTATATATATATATTATACTGTATATATTATAGTGCCGAAAGATTATGAATAAAGGATGAAAGCGGTCTGTATCGTCTTAAGGTATCCCAGCGTATGCCTGGAGGAACTGAGGAAGACCACACTCAGGTGGCTGTCGGGCTGTGGTACCAGCGCGCAATCTCTCGGATCTCATGCTTGAACACAACTACCCAACTGAATGAAATGACGTCTTGGTTCAGATGCTGATGGTCGCTAAGATAGTTAGAAAGTTCTTTGTCTCTTATAGAAAACGAAAGTTCATTACCTTGTTCACAACAGCTCGCTATTGGATCATATCATGAGCCAAATTAATCCAGCTGCGTGATTCTTAACTTCCGAAGTGAAAGTGTTATTCATTGTGTTGACGCAGTATCTATGCACTAGATAAAAATTGTTAATGCTTACGGGAATATTTGGGCGGGGGGGGGGTACAAATTTTTTTCCCCACATTCATTTTATTACTGACATCACAGTAGAGATGCGGTTAAATTTTCAATATTGCTTTACTGGGCATTCCGTCTCTTTTAGTCCTCAGTTGAATATGGTCACATTCAAGTTGATAGTGTCGTATCTTGTACATATATTACTGCCGTCAATAAAAGCAATTACTACCAAATGAAAAGTGCGATTTCTACCTTTCAATAATCAATCAATGAGACTCTGAAGTTAAATTCAACCATCAGTTCTTACGAAGTAACTGAATCGTTAGTATATTTTTGTGGTTCATATAATTTATATCGTTAAAAGTAACAGTAACTATCATACGTGTAATTACGTAGAATACGTACACAGTCTCGAAGTACAGTGAGACATGGGAAAACCCAGAGATAGATTTTGAGATCAGTTTCAATAGCCTCCGAACATGGCAATGAGCTCGTAGCGCCCAATACTTGACTAAGAAGGTGAGAGAAGGGAGGTGAAAGCCACTAACACTCGGAATATTAGCCTGATTTCTTTCCTTTAAAGTAACAAATGTAGGCTCACAAATAATACTACAATATAATCTATATGTACATATCTCTAAGTCGACTTATTTTAACTTCGGAACCAGTTGACTGATTTTATTGAAATATGGTAAGGTTATTATGATATTTAAGGCAACTCTAACACCATATATTTTTAAATTCCTACATTCAGTAATAACAACATGACGAACGCGCGAACTTGTAAGGCGAAGGGAGTAACATAATATATATATATGCAATTCTGTTTATGAAATTCTTGTAGGAAGCAAAACACAACATGGCAGTGGTGCGAAAATTTCGTTTGGCTTTCTTTTGTACTGCAATAACTAATGAACCACTGAAGTTAGGCATGTGAAACTTTGTATGGAGATACACTGTAAATACAGTAAAACCTCAGTAATTCCGACCATACTAATTCGTAATTGGCCATAATTCGAGCAACTGTCTTTTTTGTTTCTCATTGAGACCGTGTTGATCGCACCGCCTCGTGCAGCGCTAGCGTAGATGCCAGTAGATTAATGTAGGACTCAATTTAAACATCAAGGAAATAATAATAAGTATTTAGGCTACTGAAAATGCTTCCAAGACTGGTGTTACAACCGACACTTTAAATTTTATGACAAGAAAATTTGTTTTACGGTACGCAATATGATTTTCAAAATAGAGTTTTATTTCCTAAAAAGACACGTGAAATCCGTTTTAGAACTTCCCGGAACAAATTTTCAGTAGCCCTTTTGTAATTTTCACTAATCTGGATAAGGGCTCGCACCCAATCAGTCCGAATTAGTGAGGTATCACTCTATTCCCATGTATTTTATATGAATATTGTTTATAAACTGAAAACTGAAAACGTGGGTACGATAGAAATGTTGACGTTATATCGAATAAATTTAACTTACATATATATAGAATCTGTACTTAAATAATAAGCTCTTCACATAAATAAAGTGAGGTTGAAACTAAAATATAGTAGAGCAGTAGATATGTAGGATAATTAGAATGATCAAGTCAAGGAGGATGACGTGGGCAGGTCATGTAGCACGAATGGGGGAGACGAGGAATGCGTATAGGATATTAGTGGGAAAGCGAGAAGGAAAGAGACAAGAGGAAAGACCAACGCGTAGGTGGGTGGACAATATTAGAATGGATCTTAGAGAGATAGAATGGGATGGTATGGATTGGATAGATCTGGCTTAGGATAGGGACCAGTGGAGGGCTCCTTTGAACACGGTAATGAACCTTCGGGTTCCATAAAATGCTGGGAAATTCTTGAGTAGCCGCAGAATTGGCGGCTCCTCCAGAAGGGCTCAGCTCCATGAGTAAGTAGATATGTAGGACTAGAAATCTGTGACAAGACATTAAACTCACGAGTTCTGCTCGGAACTGCATGTGTTCTTAAGAGATGGCAGGAGACGCGCATTTCGCTGATATTGTCAAACACCAAACAAATCCTCTGCTCTTAAGCGAAGGTGCTTCGTTCGTAGCGTGGGAAAAGTTAATCATCTGTTAATCAGCTGCTAACGGTGCCATTGCGAGCTTGGTTTGGCCGGGCTGGGGAATTAAAATTTGGTAGCACCTGTATTTGTTTTGTTTTGTACGTAGGTGCCATGCGGTTGGCTGGTGCCCCATGTCAGGAGCCCGGTCGAAGTTCCAGCTACATGCAATAGAATTATTTGCACTGCTAACAGACAAGCGGGGTGAAGTGTGCTCCAATTTGGAGTGGGCATATTTTTCCAAATGCCTTCTTTGTGATTCTGCATCCTTTACTGCACTCGTGTTCATTTATTTTACATGCAAATAAATAAATTGCACACAGATATTTCTATCGAAAGAGGAATACATTTTCTAACTTTCCAGACTAATAACCGTTACCTTACTAACTTACTTACTTACTGAGCCCTTCTGGAGGAGCCGCCAATTCTTCAGCTACTCAAGAATTTTCCAGCATTTTATGGTACCCGAAGGTTCATTACCGTGTTCTCAAGAGCCCACCACTGGTCCATATCCTGAGCCAGATCAATCTTCCATAACATCCCATCCTATATCTCTAAGATCCAGTTTAATATTGTCCACTCACCTACGCCTTGGTCTTCCTAGTGGTCTCTTTCCTTCTACTAATAACCATTAACAGAAGAAATATTACACGACATGACTTAATCAGCTTAATCAGCTATAATCAGAAATTTTAATACGAGTAGTTACTTTGCTGGTTAAGAAATTACCCTCCTTTTAAGGGTCATGGTTACAGCTGTGTAATATCATGAGCCAGAAGAGTTCAGTCCACATCCTCACATCATATTTCTATGAGATCAATTTTAATATTATCTTCTTATATGTTTCTAAGTTTCGAAAATTTTCTTTTTCCTTCAGATCTTCAGATTTAAATTCTGAAGACAAATTTTCCCAATGATATTTACATATTCTACCCATTTAATCGAGCCAGATTTGATTATCCAAAATATATTAGATGAAGGGT